CATATGCAGCGGTAAGCCTTCGAGGCCGTTGGTGGTTCCACGTCCACCGTTTGGGGTTCTACGTCAGCCGTGGGGTTCAGTTGAGTGGCAGCTGGTGGCCGCGACAATCGCTGTTCGAAGGATTTAGCCCAACGTACTTCTTTATTTGAGGTGGTCATTCCTTTCCGATTCCTGGTTGTTTCTTTCACGGGTGATTTCCTGGGACCGGTCACATGGATCAACCCAAGTAATCTTCGGCGTTATCGGCTTTCTGTGTCCCTACCCTTTCTTTGGCTTCCTCCGTCTACCAGGCTTTACGGTCGGCTCTCGCGCTTGTTTTTATTTGATGTTTGAGGACTCGTCGCATCAGGTTATGTGCCGGAGCGTCTAGAATATTTAGTTGGAACTTAAGCAGTGTCACCATTCGGCCTGATATCCAGTGCTTGAGTAAGCCGGATGGTGCCGTGCCACAGGCGAAATTCTCATCACTATGCCAAGAGGTGACAATCTCGTCTCACCGTGAGTTCATATCTTATGGCAGAGCATTTGGAAGGGAACCAGAAGACGAGTCTGGTAAATTCGTCTAACATACTGATCTACCGGTCTTTCAATTTGCAAGCGATTTTTTCGCGCCTTACGCAGCTCAGGAAGACGTAGGGAAAAGCGACTCCTCAGTAGCGCTTGATCGGAATCCACAAATGTGTTCCGAAACGCCCGGCAGTCAGATATTGATCCACGCTATCGGAAAATGATGGCAATGGGATCCATTTGAGTTTGTGGCCGGCATGCCATTGTCCGTTCGTATCGATTCCGAACCATGTCGACCTCCTAATCAAGTCTCAGATACGCTAAGCCTGCCCGCTTGTGCATTCATATCTCCGGCAACCACTACGATATCTGAGCTTTTAGCTCGCCGAAACAGGGCATTCTTGGTGTCTTAGAACCTGCCTTTGAGGGCATCGGAGCTACAGTGAGTTATGCCGTTAGCAGGCATGATGAACAGATATCGGTCATTTTACCGCTTGTGAGACTCCGTCACAGACCTTGCCAAACGAACAGGTATTCAGTCAATCAAGGATACTTCCGACCGGTGAACTAAGGCGACACCAACCCTTGCACATCCGGCCGCAGCAGCCTCTGGATCACCAGAAGTACAAAGCCCGAATCAAGTGAAGAGTGATGGGGCGGTTAGCTCAACCGCTGTGCGCGTATCCGTAATTATTGTTTCTGAGACACAGTACACAACAATGCCAAGTGAATCCAGTTTGAGAGCAGGAGCAGCTTGCTCTCTTGCTAGCTTCAGTGTCCGCACACTGAAGGCCACCTCGAGGCGTGAAGATTAATTTCGAGATACATGATGAGGTCGGCGCCATGTGACGAGCGGAAGCTGCGCACAAAACCGATGCGGAGTCATCATTCTTGAGCGTTTGGTCTACAATAACCGGGCTATTAACTGGGTGGGCAGAATCGGGAGAGACTGAAAGTGAAACAGAATGAAGGAAGGCGTCAGTAATACCCTGTTTTCCCTTATCCGCCCTGCAGTATGCACCGAGTAAGGCGACTCGGCTGATGGCAACAAGCGACGGCCGATGTACCATGAGATTGTTTGTGTGTGTAATAATTGTTGTACGAACACTCAGATACTGAAAGGGCGCCAACAACAAGATAGGAGAATGTTTAGTGTCATCAGCCAAAGCCTGTGGCTCAAGAGCCTGACCGCAAGGCAGCGGCGTTTATTGGGAAACGCAGATGCATTAATATTTCTACGGAAAAAGTCGCCAAATCTTCCAACCCCTAACCTAGAGGACCAGAAGACTGTGTTTGTCAGACATCTAACCATTGACCAACCTGGTAGGTGAGACTGTGAGTGTCTCGGGGACACCCCTCACTGTAGTTCAGTGGGTCGCTGACTTACACAAACAAATCACGGCGTTGGTTAGTCTCTTTATGACGGATACTGAGAGGTTACCTTTAAATTAAGCACAATATTGAACTGTAGCCCCCAAAAACAATGAACAGATGAATTCGATTGCTTACAGTCGCCTGTGAATGTTGTCGCCAAACAAATGTGGCTTTACTATGCCATAAAACTAAATCGTTTGGTAAACAGGGGAACGACAATGAAATTTGTTAAGCTAGATAAATACTCCAGAAAAGTAACGCAAGAAATAGGACGCTCTAGCTACCCCAGGAAAGCATACATTGAAACGTGAGAAAAAAAGAAAAAAGAGAAGAAGGTGTGCGAAGTGGAATCAAAAGAAATACAATTACCTTGCCATTTTACCAGTAAACACAGAAAGGTTTCAAGTGTCACAGAAAAATTAAGCTGCTTATAAAGGGCGAAAGTTCTTCCCGGGGATACAAGTGTCTATCGCTGTCAAGAGTACAATCGAATCAAAAAGGTCACGAAAAGGAACAACAAAACCCCCAAAAAATTCGGAAGTCATCAAACAATAGTGAAAGAAGACATTTTGGGCGATGAAAATTTAGGCCTCAAATTTTGCGCGCTTACGTGAACTTCAGGAGATAAAGAAACGTATTTCCACAACAACAGCGCGCAACGTTTCTAAGGAACTCTCGGAATATATTACCATTAGATTGCTTTTAAGAGGACTCGGTGACAGAGAAACTGAAGAAGAGTACGCTGTCACTCAACCTAAGCTATTTGTCCGTCGCTGTAGGCTTTACTGCAACCAAGGTAACTGCGACTGGAATACTGTATAACCGGTAAGTTGCACACTTATCCGTAAAGCAGGAGGATAGCTGCGAACTACCCACTCTCGCCAAAATTTGAATTCAACGGTGAATATCAGAGAGGGATTGTAAGTACACGGATGGGATCTCTATTTTTAAAATACATCACACTTATTGAAGTGTACCAGATAAAACGGGCCGTTTTTCAAGAAACGAATTCAATGTAAGGGACAGATCTTATAAAATAAATAAAGTAGTCAAATAAATTACTGCACGAAGAGTTTGAAGCAAACAACTTTATAATACAGGGAAAGAAGGAAATGCTGCTGGAGTTCTCGATTGAACATTCCCAAAGACACGAATGGGCAGCTACCATCTAGTATTTACAAGAAGGTGACTCGTACGTATCACATTTTACGATGCTGCAGAATCCACGCAAGCTATCGCGAACAGGGGCGCGGCCGGACATTTTGGAAGCAGAATAAAACACCCTTAAACAGCACAGAAATAGGAAAATTTAACAAACCAGTGGCCACCAGTGAGACCCTGGATTTCTATGGAAAACATAAACCCATCAATCGGACAGCGCGAGGAGAAAAACAGACCCCATCTCAGTCGATCAATGACATCTCTGGGATGAATGAAATGGTGTGATAACAGCACGAAATGACAGTAGAGTACAGACACAAACATATTTTACTAACAGTGAAAACAGCGAGCAAAATCTCAGTCATAAAGAAATCCCAGTTTGTGGAATGTGACAAACGGCACGTTCAAAAACCATTGGGAGAGCTATTCATCAGATGAATTGTTAAGCGCAATGGTCATTCTAATCTTCCGTACTCGCAGAAAAAATGTGTGCAAACGTAGCTGGGACAGTGTTCACATAAGTAACTAGACTAGAACAAAAATCTAATGTGGACGTTTTTAGGTGTGGTGCTAAAGTCAGAAAGCCTTTACAAGACATATCCGGATCTACTTTATGAAAGTTATGCAGGGACAACAGGGGGGACTCAATCGCTCATTTTAAAATCATGATAGTTGAACCCACCTTCTTATTCACGGGTAATTTTGGGCGAATTTGGATAGCTCAAAAAAGTTTTGGAATCATGTAGCAAAGCAAATAAGCAAACGAATTTATTCGAAAGGAAACTCACTTGCTGTAAAAGTAATTACAATGATGTAAGTTGCCCCCTTTTTGACAGTAAGAGCGAGGCCACCGTACGGCGACACTTCCACAGACAGCACACTAGCGCCTTGTGAACCTGTACTCAAAAAGCAAAGATGAACGAAAGTGCAGAAGTTGATATGTGAATTTCGCTCAGAATCACAGATCAGACAGACGCGTTAAAAGATTGAACGTGACATTTTTTCATGAAATTCCTGAATCAAAATTGGCTTGATGTTGACAGACGCGTAAAAGATTGAACGTGACATTTTTTCATGAAATTCCTGAATCAAAATTGGCTTGATGTTATTGGATCCGAGTTGTTTCCAGTTTTGTGATTTTTTTCGCCAATGGGTTGTTTTCTGGAGAGCTGAATGATTGTGCTGGACGTCAATGGGAGCGGGCACTGTGATAAAACTCTTTTTTTGCTGCATCAGTCATCATGCTCCCCACATCTCTTATGTTCAGAAGTAAGTAAGTATATGTCTGATGTAGAATTTGAGTAGGGTAGACAAAACATTTAAAAACAATTTTGTTGTGTAGTTTGGCTGTAGAATTCATTCTTTCGGGGAGGTGGCAAAATACTTTTAGGTACCCTCTTGTTTATCACATTACAACCGGCTGTAGTGAATCAAATTGTGTACACCACTTTTACGGAACACGTTTGGCTGGTCCCATATTTGAGCTCGGGACTTTTGTGAAGACAAGGTCACGTAGTGAAGTGAAAACCAACCGCTTAATGATGCCCTTAAACTGAAAAGGAGAATCTATATTATTGGTTAGAATCGGTATGACCTAATTATGTCTGCGTTGAAACCATATGAAGTTGAAGTAATTTATTCACCGACATCAACTACCATTATTGAGCAGTTAATGTCCTCTACAGCGTAAACGCACGTGCTAGTTGTAAAACGCTCCGCTGTGGAATCGACCCAATTTTTGTTTTCGCGCTCAGGGTGACATATGCTTTCACAGATACTCAACACCATCATTCACAGGCGTGTTCCATATCCAGCATGTNGTCCTCTACACGTAAACGCACGTGCTAGTTTTAAAACGCTCCGCTGTGGAATCGACCCAATTTTTGTTTTCGCGCTCAGGGTGACATGCTTTTACAGATACTCAACACCATCATTCACAGGCGTGTTCCATATCCAGCATGTCCCACAGAAAGTTTTTGGCGTCACGACATAATTCGATGGGATTTACCCCAAAGGAACGAAGCCAACGAATTCGCAGAAAGTGCAAAGCATTTTCCAAAGACCGCCGGTCTCTGCCACCGCATTTGACTGTCTTCTTGGGCTACAAGGCCGGCATGACTCACATTGTCCGCGAAGTCGATCGACCGAGATCAAAGGTCCACAAAAGGGGAATTTTTGAACCGGTTACTATCCTGGAATACCCACCCATGGTTTTTGTGCTGTTGGTGGGCTATGCCCCTACGGCCCGTGAACCCCGTACATTCAAGACTGTCTGGGCAGAACACTTCACCGAAGAATGCCGTCTTCGGTTTTACAAAGATTGGTGTAAGTCCAAGAAGAAGGCCTTCATAAAAGCGTCGAAAAATGGGCTAACGAAGCTGGATTACGGGAGATTAATCGTGATCTGAAGAAGGTGAAGAAGTATTGCACGGTGGTGCGTGTTATTGCGCACACTCAAATGCGATTAATGAAGCACCGCCAAAAGAAGGCCCATATTATGAGGATACAAGTCAATGGTGGGACGTTGTTGCAAAATGTTGACTAGATTCGTCAGCACTTTGAGAAACAGATGCCAATAATGGAAGTCTTTAATCAAGATGAAACGACTGACGTCCCAAAGACACGAATGGGCAGCTACCATCTAGTATTTACAAGAAGGTGACTCGTACGTATCACATTTTACGATGCTGCAGAATCCACGCAAGCTATCGCGAACAGAGGCGCGGCCGGACATTTTGGAAGCAGAATAAAACACCCTTAAACAGCACAGAAATAGGAAAATTTAACAAACCAGTGGCCACCAGTGAGACCCTGGATTTCTATGGAAAACATAAACCCATCAATCGGACAGCGCGAGGAGAAAAACAGACCCCATCTCAGTCGATCAATGACATCTCTGGGATGAATGAAATGGTGTGATAATAGCACGAAATGACAGTAGAGTACAGACACAAACATATTTTACTAACAGTGAAAACAGCGAGCAAAATCTCAGTCATAAAGAAATCCCAGTTTGTGGAATGTGACAAACGGCACGTTCAAAAACCATTGGGAGAGCTATTCATCAGATGAATTGTTAAGCGCAATGGTCATTCTAATCTTCCGTACTCGCAGAAAAAATGTGTGCAAACGTAGCTGGGACAGTGTTCACATAAGTAACTAGACTAGAACAAAAATCTAATGTGGACGTTTTTAGGTGTGGTGCTAAAGTCAGAAAGCCTTTACAAGACATATCCGGATCTACTTTATGAAAGTTATGCAGGGACAACAGGGGGGACTCAATCGCTCATTTTAAAATCATGATAGTTGAACCCACCTTCTTATTCACGGGTAATTTTGGACGAATTTGGATAGCTCAAAAAAGTTTTGGAATCATGTAGCAAAGCAAACAAGCAAACGAATTTATTCGAAAGGAAACTCACTTGCTGTGAAAGTAATTTCAATGATGTAAGTTGCCCCCTTTTTGACAGTAAGAGCGAGGCCACCGTACGGCGACACTTCCACAGACAGCACACTAGCGCCTTGTGAACCTGTACTCAAAAAGCAAAGATGAACGAAAGAACAGAAGTTGGTATGTGAATTTCGCTTATAATCACAGATCAGACAGACGCGTTAAAAGATTGAACGTGACATTTTTTCATGAAATTCCTGAATCAAAATTGGCTTGATGTTATTGGATCCGAGTTGTTTCCAGTTTTGTGATTTTTTTCGCCAATGGGTTGTTTTCTGGAGAGCTGAATGATTGTGCTGGACGTCAATGGGAGCGGGCACTGTGATAAAACTCTTTTTTGCTGCATCAGTCATCATGCTCCCCACATCTCTTATGTTCAGAAGTAAGTAAGTATATGTCTGATGTAGAATTTGAGTAGGGTAGACAAAACATTTAAAAACAATTTTGTTGTGTAGTTTGGCTGTAGAATTCATTCTTTCGGGGAGGTGGCAAAACACTTTTAGGTACCCTCTTGTTTATCACATTACAACCGGCTGTAGTGAACTTAAACACACCGTGGGATTGATCTTAATGTCTTTTTACAAGTGGGCTATATTGAAGCGCCATCACACACCACCAACTTGGCCATAGGAATATGGGAGCATCTTGGCTGGTCACGAAGGATTGATGTAAATCAACGCTTACCACAATCGTTGTAGTAAATTGCATCCGTGATGTTTTGTACCCAAAGTATCCCCCAATATGCTAAAATGCTGAAAATCCGCATCCTTCAAGTTGTGAACCATACAGCACTTTTGCGGAACACGTTTGGCTGGCCCCATATTTGAGCTCGGGACTTTTGTGAAGACAAGGTCACGTAGTGAAAGTCAGACCAACCGCTTAATGATGCCCTTAAACTGAAAAGGAGAATCTATATCATTGGTTAGAATCGGTATGACCTAATTATGTCTGCGTTGAAACCATATGAAGTTGAAGTAATTTATTCACCGACATCAACTACCATTATTGAGCAGTTAATGTCCTCTACAGCGTAAACGCACGTGCTAGTTGTAAAACGCTCCGCTGTGGAATCGACCCAATTTTTGTTTTCGCGCTCAGGGTGACATATGCTTTCACAGATACTCAACACCATCAATCACAGGCGTGTTCCATATCCAGCATGTCCCACAGAAAGTTTTTGGCGTCACGACATAATTCGATGGGATTTACCCCAAAGGAACGAAGCCGACGAATCCGCAGAAAGTGCAAAGCATTTTCCAAAGACCGCCGGTCTCTGCCACCGCATTTGACTGTCTTCTTGGGCTACAAGGCCGGCATGACTCACATTGTCCGCGAAGTCGATCGACCGAGATCAAAGGTCCACAAAAGGGGAATTTTTGAACCGGTTACTATCCTGGAATGCCCACCCATGGTTTTTGTGCTGTTGGTGGGCTATGCCCCTACGGCCCGTGAACCCCGTACATTCAAGACTGTCTGGGCAGAACACTTCACCGAAGAATGCCGTCGTCGGTTTTACAAAGATTGGTGTAAGTCCAAGAAGAAGGCCTTCATAAAAGCGTCGAAAAATGGGCTAACGAAGCTGGATTACGGGAGATTAATCGTGATCTGAAGAAGGTGAAGAAGTATTGCACGGTGGTGCGTGTTATTGCGCACACTCAAATGCGATTAATGAAGCACCGCCAAAAGAAGGCCCATATTATGAGGATACAAGTCAATGGTGGGACGTTGTTGCAAAATGTTGACTAGATTCGTCAGCACTTTGAGAAACAGATGCCAATAATGGAAGTCTTTAATCAAGATGAAACGACTGACGTAATCGTTGTCACCAAGGGAAAGGGTTTCAAAGGTGTCACATCTAGGTCGCACACGAAGAAATTGCCCCGTAAAACCCATAAAGGTTTGCGCAAGGTTGCTTGCATCGGCTCATGATACTCTGCCCGTGTTGTGTCCACTTTTGCCCGAGCGGGACAGAAAAGATATTTCCACCCAACGGAGCTTAATACAAAGGTATATAGGATCGGACTCGGTGTTCAGGCACAACTGGGGGCCGCTTGGGCGAAGCCGCAAAAGAAGAGTCGAAGGACATATCAGCTCCCATCAAATCCAAAGGCAACGCATCGACTAAATTTACTCTAACAGCGAAGAACATCATTTCCATGGGTGGATTTCCACAATACGGAGAGGTGCGCAATGACTATGTTATGATAAATTACCATGGCAAACAGCACATATTTTAGGCGCAACCTTAACCATACATTCAATGCCCGTTGGTCATTTTCTGATGGAGGTGAATCAAATAAACTAACTAGCAACTAAAGGGTATCAGAAACAAAATGATGGTTTGGAAGTTGGGCAAACTGATGAAACGGGGAAAAAGCCACAAAATTTCACGGCAGAAATGAAAACTTGTTAGCAGTTTTCCCCTTGAGCATGTTTCTTTCCCAAGCTAGCGTGAGAAAGCAGACTAAGTCAAGCATGTGTGCTCATTGGTCAATGTGACATAGTCTAGTTTCCGACGCCCAATTTGAAGCATTCTTTAGGGAGAATGTGGCCAACAATAACCTATAAATCTTCTCGCACATAGAGGTTAACATCACAGGAAGTCAGCCAAAAGTTTCGGATGAAACCTTCCTTCATGTAAAATTTTAAGTACACGAGGAGTCGGGGAATGTCTACTTGATAATCTTGAAACTAGTGGTGGGCTGCCGTTGGGATTTCAAAAGTATTGTGAGTAGCTTCATCTAAGAAAATATCTGTGATGTATTCAAACCCAGAAACCTTTGTTTACGAGAGATTCGAAAGCATAAACGGAGCAAGAGTAACAATCTCCCTGGAAATCTGTAGATTTATTCCTTCTTGGATTACCAAAGAAATAACGTTCGTTTTTGATTGCGAAGTCTGTCGGAGTTTAGAACTGTCCGTAAGTGGTAATAATCAATAATATCTGAAGATAATGGTCTACACGCAATTTTGCTGTTGGTTAAGCAGCAGTGTGATCATTTCCAAAACTCGAATGCAGAAGGAAGATTTGGGATAAAGAAAATGAATTGGTATTAAAGAGCCGCCATTGGGACGAAGCATTTTGATGAAATGTACTTGAAGAAAGTCCATCACAAAGAAGCATATGTCATATTTACGTGAGCCTTCATAAGTAAAATTTTTATTCTGGGAAATCTGCTTTGTTCGTTTGATGCAGGTCACCTGAAAATGCCATTATCAGCTTTGGAACATATAGCCAGTGGTAGAAACCAATGAAGAATGTTGCATGGCGGAATTTTCAGTCAGGTTGTATGATAGTTTTGTTGAGCGGAATACGCCATACCAAACCATGTCAAATGTATGTTGAAAATGGGACACCATCGGTTGACACGGCAAAATCGGCGTTAACACTAACGTTGCACTGCCGCACAACCACAATGTTTATCTAATTGTGATGATAGAAGTATACTAAAACAGAGAGAAAAGAGTGGGTGGGTTGAGAACCTGCTGATAGCCTTGCGCAAGAATTATCAAGCGCTTACGTCTCCAAACGATTGTCGGGAATGCATCTGACATGGATTAGCCACCACTGCTCATGACGGCTGTAACCAAGCGCATTCGGGACACCTGGACCCAATACTGGATCGCACAAAAACACCTAAACACCTTGCAATCTACTCCACACAATTCTACCAAGTTTTACGTTGTCTGTCTTGCTCTTTGTGCCGTTCCAAAGGAGGCACGGATAACATCTTTCTCAGTAGATGATGTTACGCCATGCGTAGCACAAGACCTAGCAAGCAAATCAAATTTGTTTGTTGTTTCTAGCGACGGAAAAGCTACTACTAGTTTTCTGATTACCCTGTTGTGGGTTCGTGATCTAATCCAACATTAGTAATGCTTCTGAAACGTCAATATTCTACCCTCAAAAGTTCCGACGCAGGTGATAAAGGACAGTGGAATTGTTTTTCTAAATCATAATTTGACTATCTACCTTTGGAGAACTCTCCCATTGCTGACGAAGCCAATCTACTTTTGCCTTCAGAATGTGTGAAGATGGAGGTACGCCACTATATGATTTTGGTGTCCCCATCTTCTTTCTTCTGGTTATGCTTTAATGCATGATATCTATACGCCACGCGTCTCGATAAAATTTGATAAAACTATGCCAATAAAACCATACCATTCCACAGTACAAGTTGTTCATATGTTGCCTTCCGCTGCTGCCACTGTATTGTGGTGACATTAAAAAAACCGTGTTGTCCACAATAGTTCAGCTGTTAGTGTTACACCGTGAGATATGAAGAACAAACTGAACTTCAGCATACCACTGCTGAATTAATCAAAAGGTTGCAGTGGAGTTGCATGTTATTTGTTTTAAGATTATGAAGATGAAATCAAACAGCCTACTAACAAAAGCTGTTTCGGTGGCTGATGGGACACAACAAAGTTTTCACATAGTCGCGAAAAGATTCCCGAGAGCGAACAGACGAGGAGATATTGGTTTTTAAAGATGATCGCATCTGGTGAGCGTAAAAGTAAAACAAGAAACTACTGCCCAGTATAACTGACACTCGCACAAGGAGCCAGGGTCAAAAGAAAACTGAATGATTTTTTTAAATATCTGTCAGACAGGCTGGACTCTGTAAAATAGAGGAGGGACACAGAAGTTCGAATTATCTGGGTGGGAAGCTCTTAAGGAGTCTTTGTCCGATCAAATCCATTTAGACGAATTGTATAGTATGTTGTAAACTTGCTAGGTCGTGGAGTAGGCTTGCTCAACATAAACGATAAAAACAGATAACATTTTGTCAAACGATATTTCACAGCCAGTTGTTAAGAAAGCATGTTGCGGCTGAACGATTAATTACAGACAATCTTCAGAATAAGAACTAGGCAACCGTAGATTTTTGACTGAAATTATTTAATGCAGCACTGGTTGACCAAATCTGAGCAAAAATGAACGAAGAGCAACAGGAAGCTGAGCCATCCACGGGACCCATGTGCGAGAAACTTCTCCCCTTCTTAGTTTCATCAAAAGTTTGGAGCCATCGCCAAAATTTCCCACCTAACGTTTTTTGCCCATATCGTAGGGCTAAAGTGCCCCACACTATAAAGTTTTATAGATTTTCACAGATTTATAGATTTTACAGACTTACAGAGCAGTTTCATTCCGGCAGTCAGACAGCCTATTATCGTATGTCACGTCTGAGGAGCCTGTCCGGTTGTTTCCAAAAATTTACCCGGTAAATCTCAAGTCTGTGAACCGACTTATAAGTCATCGTATTGTGCGGCTTACCAAGCTGTCGTACTTGAGAATTACCTGGCAGATATTTTGATTCTGTTAGCTGATGTGAACCAGCATGCTGACTCACCTACCAGCATTATAGGATACTGCGCATTAAGGGATGTAGACGATAAGATCAGCGTTCGCATATCCGTCGGGAAATTAGGTGTTCAGAGCTAGTAAATACGATACATGCGACTGTTCGATACCCTGTACCGTGGCGTTCCTGGGTGAAATCCAGCGAAACTCATTTATTGAATTTTGCCCTGTTGGCAGGCAACACGTAGAAATTTAGCGTCATAACTGATGGCAACCTACAACGTCCACGCCATGCGTGCTGAATGCTTTTAAATATTGTTTTTCTGATAAAAATTTGTCATAAGGAACAAACTAATTCCACGGCGTATCATTCAGAATAATTGTGACAGACCAAACCGCCCACCGGAACAACAATGGAGCATCAGGCTTCATAATATATTGTGCCGGTTATTTGTGAAGTCTCACGTAGTCCACTTTCGTTCTCATGTATCATCTTTAACGTTATGGATGAAATGTATGTCTGAACAAGGTTAAGAAGAAAACGGTCTAGGTAAGACCTGCACTGCATGAAAGGTCTCTTAGATTGTTTTGAACGGTTCCGGAAGGATAAGCGATTTTCATCATCTCCACATGTTTATCTTTGCGGTTTTTGTTGCCATGGGGCAAATCTGGACAAATAAAATATCTTGGATCAGTTTACTGTCATTCTCCATGTTCTGTTTATTCCTGGCACAGCAAGACAACCAAAATACATACAGAGAGATTTGGTTAAGCGGATCCTCTTATATTCAACTTATTCACGGAGCCAGAAAACTGAAAATCTGTGAAAAACCTTCTCGCTTGTCGTAAAACAGGGGTGGAAGAAATGCGCCTGACAGGCAGATGCATGCTCAGCGTGTTGAATCCTCATGTCAGTGATCACATTAAACAAAATGGTTTGCATAGTACATCAACGGCGTTTCACTCAGAGTTAAGGATAATTGTTGAACGGGGAAGACAATTGGAGAAACGGAAAGCGCGTAACCGAAACCTGCATCCGCATTATTTGTTGGCATTTTTTTCACAGCTTAGCACTTAACTAAACATTTCATTCAACATTTTGCGGGGATTATGTTACTTCCACTGTTTTTTAGTCGATGGTTTCCAAGTGGGGTTGTCATCCTAGATATGGAGGGGCAGTAAAACTGATTATCTCCATACATGTTAGAACAAACTAGGGACTAAACTAAAAGATTAAGTATCCTCGTTAATTTATGAAAGCAGCCTGAACGAGTGAGATGTTAATTACTCCTTTTATTAGAAGACTGTTCACCGGCTACCTCCCTATTCACTTATTTAAACGAATCGGCCTTTTTCCAATGTATAACCTATAGGCTGAATGAAAACAAGAGACTAGTTTCAGATAACCCACAATAAACACCCACATTATGCATGCTTTACGAGGCCGATTTACGTTAACTCGGTGCCACGCATGAAAAATTACAGTTGATCAAATCCGATCGACTGATGTCATGTTATCATACTCAAAGCTAAAGACTGATTTTGAGATTTTCCTACTTCACTGACTGCATCAAGCCTATACAGGGCAAAACACGAGTGCACTTTGTGCTAATTGTGGTGCTGACGGGAAATTTGTTCAAAAAGTCAAGTGTTCGGGCCAGAAGGAAATAATTCATACAGATTTACATAGGACAAGCTACTTAATTAATCTGCTTGAGATTAATATTTGTTGCTCAAAGACAGTGCGAATGAATGTGGTCGTACGTACAAACCAACACAACAAACAAATTTCTTTCACATTTTCGGAAATATTTCGGGGGTGTCCACAATGATTATAGCCTGCTCGTGTTTCCGGTGTCGCACGTTCAGTTTCTCGTACACATAATTTACCAGTTTAGTTTGGGTAACACAACATGTACGGCCAAACGAACGGAAGCAAGAGGCGCTTTTTGGGCTCGAACACATTCTTTTGACAGTATTCTGTGTATTGCGAAACCTAGCATTGAAATAATGATTGGAACCGAGTAGTCCAGGCACACACGCACAGCCACGTATCGTCTGATAATTTTGTTCGGAATATGATTGTTTAAGTACAGGATGGTGTTTGTTTTGTAAACGGCCATAAAAAATCTGTGATAACCGAAGCATCTTTTGCAAAGCACGAGAAAGAAAACGTGAATCAAACAGGCGAACAGTATCGCATAGTGTAAGATTTATGGCGGCAGTGTCTGTTTAGACTCAAGTGAATATTTAAGGCACTACAATTATTCATAACTTTTTGCCCAGTTATATAAAGGGTCTTAGAAGTAACAGACCCGAGAACTTGGGCCCTTGCATACTGGAAATGTACACATTTCTCCTTATAGCTTACCGTTGACTTCATCTTTTTGTGGCACACAAGGTCTTTCTTCTTGCGCTTGGAATTATATAATTATGTAGGATACATTACGCAGGCGGTCTCGAAGTAAACTAATCATTATTGAAATTATTCATTCACAATAGTAGCTCTTT